CGGAAATTTCCAAAATTTACAACTTTTCGGTCACTCTCGTTGAACTGGAAAAATGTCTGTCTTTATTACATCTAATATTTCGAAGAAATCAGTCCCACTGTATTCGGCTAGAGATTGGTTTGGTTAGGCTTTTGTTTAAGTAAAATTTCGGCTCTTTCGTCAGGGTTTTGTTTATGTCCCCAATTCCCTAATCGCTTAATTATTTAACTAATTCTTAAGTAGAAATAAGTTGAAACCAGTTACTTTGTACTTGAATATTTGTAGTCTCTGGAAAAAGTGGAAAGACAAATTTTTATGACAACGGATACATAAATCGTAAATTCAAGAAAAATAAATTCTAGAGCTTTTTCTGTACCTGGTGCATCTCTATCATTCATTAAATTTAGTTGTAAATTATGCTACCAAAGTAACAGTTAATTTTTTAACATTATACAAGAATTGTACATGTTTTTTCCTACATCCCTTTGAAGATGGGACATACAAAATCGTAATATCACTAGTTTAACATTGAAATCCGTAATATAAAATCTGAGAGCGGAATAAATATATCAAATATTTTAACGGATTTTTTTTAAAACTCCTGTCAACTATACAGAAAACTATCATAAAAATATACAGGTAAATTCTTATCGGTTGGGTTAAGTTATAAATCTACTCGTGGTTCACGTAATCGGGCGAGGGCGGCCAAATATCTAGTGGGCAGGCGGCTAACAGCTTGGAACTGGTCCTGGTTAGAATTGGATGCGGTATACATGTAGCATCCAGACAAGGTCCTAGGCTTCCACCGGCTAAACCAGGTGATGTTGGTGCCCTGTAAAGCGCATGCGCGAATCTGGCTTTTCGGATGCTGACAATACAGCATTCCTACTCCGCCACTATTCGAATATACAATAGCAATCTTATTTTTTTTTCACGTGTAGTATAGAAATTTGTAATAAGATACATAATGCAGTTATAATAAAATATTGTGCGATTATTTTCATATAATTAAAATTAATATGTATTTATTTTTTAGAAAATACAAGGGAAACAGCGCATCCACCGCTTCTAATGACGGCACGCCACTGCATATAAGTATTCCCGGCTGAAAGAAAGGAAATGTATCATTCTGCAGTTGATGCTCAGTGCCAAATTCTGTTAAACTTCGCTTTAACTTTTTCATTTCGTCGTACTTTTGTGTACTTTTTTTAATGATTTATGCATGCTAACTTGTTAAATTTGTGTTAAATTTAAATTCCATTAAAATGCTTTTATAAATGTATTTTTTCGGGATGTGAGATGGATTAATCTAAATTACATTATTCCTTGTGGGAAAAATTCGTTCGATATTCGAACAGCCTATGGAACGAAATTCGTTCGAATTACGAAGTACCATTGTATAAGGTCATACAAGTATATATACTCGCATGTAGGCTATATCAGTGTTTCTCAAACTTTTTGCTCACGCGATCTAGTAATACGGTATATGTATTTGTTCGTATTGGTTCCGCGACCCAAATGTTTATAATATAAAGTTTTTTTAAAAAACCAGGTAAATTGGAGTCACCGTATATTATATAACAAAATTTAAAATGTGCATTACTGATGATAACTTCCACATGTGAAATGTAACTTTAAATTTCTAGTAAAAGCGGTTCGAGACATTTTTGACTTGTAACAACAAAAATTAAACTTGAAGTAAGTTATTATTGAAATTTAATTATTAAAAATGACGATTGTAAATTAAAAACAGTTTCAAAATTACTCTTTAAAAAATATTACAAGTTTTTTTTAATAAACTTTAATTAAAAGAGAAGGAAATGGGGATATAGAAGGGATCATGTGTCATATCTCGAGTAGGGTCGGACTTAATTAATGAAGATTTTACTCGTTATTAGCACTTACATTTTCTTTCTTTTTTTTTTTTCTTTTTTATAAAACTTATCTCTACCCTCAAAATTAAGCTTTTTGTCATAATAATAATAATAATATAAAAAGTTTTAATTAAAATAAATATCATAAAAAGATGGCGCAACACGCAATTTTAAATGTTTTTGCCGGAAAAGTTACGTAACTTGTTAATGGATTTTTAAACTTTTTAATTAGCTTTCTATCATTTTCCATTTTATGAAAAGGTACTGTACAGTACATTTCTACGATATCAAAGCTAGCCATTCCGTAGAGATCGTATAAGCCTACCTGAATTCGTTTTAATTTGTTTATAAGTTCGTTGTCAACAGTTTATTTAAGAAATCGCTAATGATAAAACAAATGATTATAAACTATCAATCTTTTTAATTACAAAATTTGTAATTTTATTTACTGTTCTTTTATTAATATTGAAATTGATATTCCCAGTTTATTAATTCTGAATATATTATTATTAGAATATGAAATGCATAAGGATAAGATATAAACGCCTACACCAAGTGCATGTATTGTTTCATAACTGGAGTGAAACTTCAGATAATAATGAATTTACTGGTGTAATATTAATGCAATTCTACATCGATTTGAAAAAAACGACATTTCGTTGATAAGATTAAAGCGTTAAACAATTCCAAACTCGTTTATTATTATTGTCTTCATTCTACAATTAGAACTGATTATACTTTTCGGTGCATTTTAACGAATTGAATATAACAATTTTTATAAGGACATTATTCGAATTTAACAATTCAAAAAATAATATACAACCAGAACAATCATGTGATTAAAATTTATCATTATATCGTTGATAATGGTAAATTTTCGCATATCATTAAAACTTATCATTATCAACTAAATAATGATAAGTTTCCGACAACAAAAAGCTTAGAAACGAGCACAAAGTTTATTTCTTTATAAGCAGATCCAGCTCTGCGCGTTTTGTTCGAAATGATGTGGAAAATCTTCCTCTCTACCATATTTATTTTTAAATTAGTTCAATCCCTAGATATTCCGAATGATGATGTGCTTAATTATAATGCAATCAACCAACTGAACAATTTACAGAAGGAATTGCTGAGAGTAATATCGGCAATACCAGAATTCGCCATAGTATCTCCCTCTTTGTATAATTCAAGACTTTTTAAAGGAAATAAAACCCACCAGATTATTGATTTTAATAAGTGGATTTCGAACGTAACAACTGAAAATGTACTCGAAAATAATACAACAGATATGCATAATTATGATTTTAAAGATATAAAGTCACTCGCAGCTAACCGGACAGGAAATAAATGTAACATGGATTTAATTTATTTGATGTTTAGTTTTTCTAAGGAAGCGAGATTACAAAGTAAGTGAGACTTTTATTGATATGTTTTCTTTGTAATCGTTGAAGATTTGTTATTGTTATATATCAATTGAATGGAAATTTTATTAGTGTTGGATGCTGCTGGAAAGCCTTCTTCTGGATTAAGAAAAGGAAATTTAAAATGGCTTGGAGATTTCAAAGAATGTCGAGAAGTAACTGTACCTCTAAAAGTCATCGATAATATGAATTTCGGAAATTTTAAAGGAAAATACTGTTCAATGTCTTTGATTGTTGGTATCTGGTAAAAACTTAAAGTTAAAAAATGTTTTCTGATTTGGTTATAATAAAAACATTTTTAATTGCATATCAAGTTAGGTATAGACGTTGGTATTTGTGTCCCAGATTCATGTAATGAAGAAATATTATCAAATGATCTGAAAGAACTATCTACATTTTTAAGTAAGTTAACAAATTTTTTTAATCTTTATGATTCTTTTTGAAGTTATTTTTTAATTCCTATCTTTTGTAAGATCTAATTTGTTATCAGTTGAATTTATTTTGAAAACAATAAATTTACTTATGAACAGTTTTTCGAGTACATCATAATGCCTATTTGTCATTATACTTTTTATAGTTTATATTCCTTGGATGAAAATGGTCGTGCCGTTTATTTATACTGCAGGAATTACTTGTCAAAATTCTTCTTTAAAATGGGAAACTGGCGAAATAGTATACATGTGAGTTTGAGTGTAAAGTTTTAAAATGCGCTTTAATTTAATGTACTAAAAATTAATTAAAATGTACCAACAGGTGTGTGATTTGCATATTTGCTTTCTTCATTGTAATTGGCACAATATGTGATATTATAATTAAAATTAAAAAGTATTTATCGGTTAAGACGGAAAATAAAAGTTTACCCGAGAATTATAATCCAGGAGAATATTACGATGAATCTGAAACAAACAATGAAAATGAATTAATTATAAACAGCACAACAGTACAGCAAGAAGAGACTGAATCAGGTTATACACTTAAATATTTTATAAAAATTAATAATATTAAATTTAATATCGTCATTCTGTTTTTTTTAATCATTAGCAATCGTAAAATTCTTAATTTGTTTTTCATTATACACTAATGGAGTAAAAATTTTAAGCACCGAAAATACTAGCAGTCAATTACAATGTGTTCACGGAATTCGCTTCTTGAGCATGTGTTGGATTATTCTGGGTCATACTTTTCTTTCAGCTTTAGTTGTTACAGGTAAATATATTATACAGTGTATATATATATATAATTAAATTATATTATATATGTTTTTTTTTCAAAAAGAAATTAGCTTATATTTATAAATTATATTTTATGTTCATAAGAAAATCTAGCCGACTACGTAGATTATGTTGAAAAGTTTTCTGCTCTATTCATAATTCAAGCCACATATTCTGTTGACACCTTCTTTTTGTTAAGGTAGGAAAATCATTCATTTTAAATAAATCAAAATGCTATTATATAATGATAATAGATTAATATAATGATTTTGATCATTTTTTATCAGCGGGCTTCTGCTATCATATTTATTTCTAAAAAATTATGAAAAAAGTACTAAAAAGTTCAATTGGGTATATTATTATCTTCATCGAATATGGAGGTAAGTTTTGTTATACTTCTTTCTATAAATATTATGAAAAATATTACGAATAAAATATGTTAGGGTATGAATATTATAAGCTGTATTTCAAATTTTAATTTTGTAAATAGAGTGTAGAATAATCTATTACCATTGTTGTGCAATGGATTACAATTGTCATTGTAAAAGAACCATAAAATTAAAATTTTAAATTAAAATACAGTGAAATCTCGGGTTTAGAACAATTCGGTTTTTATGAACAAAATTTTGAACGACATATTTGCCCCAATTGCCGAAGGAGCTACAGATTAGATAGACGCAGATGATCAACTCCCTGTACTTAAAGAATTACAAGACGACGGCCCGACCAATCATATTTATAAACACTAGGTAGCCAGTTATTTGAAGCTAAATTCATAAAATAATAATTAAAACTGGTTTTTTACACCGAAACTGAAACTGAATCTAAAATTAAAAATAAAATCAAAATTAATTAATTAATTTAAATTAAAGCAATTGAAACAATATTTCGGAAAATGTGGATAAAGTACGTGTTGTCTGTCTTGATTAATTTGGTTCTATTTTCATCCAGGCATAAGAGTGAAGTCTCTGTAACACTGAAAGTGTTAGTTTCGAATTCGATTGGCGGTGACGGAACATTTGGCTTTTAATATATAATATAGAATAGATATAGACATAGATATAGATAATATTATATTATATAAAAATTACAATTGCATTTTTAGCTGTATCATGTATAAAAATTGCCTACAATGCATTTTTAAGCATGAAATACAGCTAAAAAGGTAAAAAAAAACAGACTTTGTTTTAAAGGTCAAGAACGGATTAATCCAATTTACATTGTTTCTTGTGGGAGATTTGTTTCGGTTTGAGAACAACTTTTAGGAACGAATTAAGTTCTAAAACTGAGGTTTGACTGTATTAAATTAACTTTGCATAATTTCAGATTAACTCCTGTGTACATGATGGTCTTAGGATTATACACGACAATTTTTTTGCGTATGGGTAATGGTCCTTTATGGCCAAAGGAAGTCGATAATGGTAATTGTAAAAAGTATTGGTGGCGAAATTTGCTATATATTCATAATTTGGAACCCCAGTCAGATATGGTAAAAGTATATAACAGTTTAATGTGAAATACAGTTTTATTAAAACTAACAAAATTTTATTATTTATAGTGCATGGCGTGGACGTGGTATTTGGCAAATGACATGCAGTTCTACATCATTAGTCCAATATTCCTGATCCTTTTATGGAAGTAAGATTTTAACATTAAATTAAATTATAAAATAAATTATGTTTGTATTTACATTTAATTCGTTTAGATTTCCCGTTATCGGTTTCGTAGTGATGTATGTCGCGTTAGGCATTTCTTCAATTACTACGGGAATTCTAGCTACTAATGGCAATACATTTTCAATTTTTTCGTGGATCGGTGACAACGGATCAGATTCGTCAAATATGTAAGTTTAAGTTTACTTTATATTTAATAACGTCAAATTTTTTACGAAAAACACACCGATATTTTAATTTGCAGACAAGTGTCTGACAATGTTTTCGAAGTTATATACGAAAAACCTTATTGTCGTATTGGACCTTATTTGATAGGAATTGCCACCGGTTATGCCCTGCATAAAATGAATTACTGCAAAAATCTTTTGAATAAAGTAAGTCAACGAATTGTTTTTCATGTATACTAAGTACTGTATATTCATATCCCATTTAAAAAACTGGTAAAACAGATTGAAAAAGTAAAGCTCAGCAAAAACGTCTAAATAAAGAAAACTTTTTAAATTTGTGGGATAAGAATACCGGAAGCAGATTTGACAGTAAAACTTAGCATGTGAATAAAGTTCACGTTACACAGACTACAACTACAGGATGTTTTGGATGAAGCAATGTCACCGTGATACTAAATGAGAAAAATAAGCATCGTCACAGAAACAGGCTTCGTGCTTTACTTTGTGCCGTTGTACATATATAAATTTGGCTGAACGTTCGAATAACTTTAAGCAGTATCAGTGAAGGGAGTTTGAGGTTTTCTCTCTTTTTTAATGAGATATTTGGGATAAATGAGATAAGTATTTTTCAGTCATTAATAATTTTATGACAAAATATTTTTTAGATAGACTGAAGATATTCCCCAGGGTCCCAGAGAATAAGTATAAAAAATTTGGCGTAAATCGGGCAAAGGGTTTATGAGTAAATAATAATGATGAAATGAGGGGAGGGGCAGGTGTCCAGGTTTCGTGGTATTCTATATTTTCCTCGAGGTCTCTGAGAATAAATGTGAAAAATCTGGTGCAGATCAAAACAGAGACACATTCTATCATCTATATACACTAGTAGACAAAAGGTCTCAAAACGTGGAGATTTGAAAAAAAATCAGAGGATAAAATTTGACAATTCCAATATTTTCCAATATTTTCCCTTGTTATGTATATGTTAACCGTTTTTAGTCAAAACCCGTTTTTAGTTAGAACGCATTTTAACTAGTTGAAACTGGTTTATACTGGATGTCTTTGTTTAAACCCGTTTTGTCTAGTTAAAACTAGTTTTAACTCAAATTCATTTTTGACTAGCAGTAAATTCTAGTTATAACTAGACAAAACGGGTTTTGTCTCGTTAATTTACTGCTGTGCATGTTTTGATTTTAGATAAAACTAGTTTTAACTTTTAACATTAACTAATTTTAGCTACATAAATATGTTTAGGGGAAATAAATAAAGTTATGTATAGTGATTCGAGGGAAGATGCCTAACATTTTGCTTATGAAAAAAATTATAGCGATAATTTGGGTTTTGGAGTCCTCTAACGAAAATATCATATTCTTGAGTATGTTTTTTAAATAAAACTTTGGAGTATATGAAAAATAATTGTCTATTGTGTTTGCAATGACGACTTTTTCACAGTCTGGCATTTTAAAGCATCTCACCCCAAGTATCCGGGTGAGATGCCAAATGCCATTAGGGTGAGATAACAAACATAATTGCATAAAATTAATTTTCGAATATCTTAACCAAATTTAATTTATTGAATATGTAGTACAAAGTACTTCATAGTAAGTATAACAACACAGTTTCCGCCCGTTCTAACGTGTTCTATAGCTAGCTGAAAGCTTTTTTCAGTCCAAAAACCTTTTTGAGAAATCTTTATATAATTTCTATGCATATCCTGCAATAAAACGAGAAAACAAAAATTTATTAAAAATAGGCATATTGGAATTCAGTTAACAAAAAATAGCCATGTTACCCCAAGAAAAATGTGGCATCTTTTCCATTTGTTGGGGTAAGATACCTAGTGGAGTCACGTGTTTCAGCATGTCCCATCGGGATCGGCGGTAGCTGACAATGGAAACTTTAAAACTTTAACTACATCACACATTAATTGTTTTTCGCAATTTTTAATAAATTCTATTTTAACTTTTAGTTTTAAAATTACTCTAGAGATATTTCACAACAAAAACTTTGTTCTTATCTTGCTTTAATTCTTCTCAAATGTAGAAAATGAGGTAACAGTAGCCAACTACAGCTTTCCGCACTTTATTGGTCCAACGATTCATCATACAAACACATGACAATATGTGACGTCACCGTTTGAAAGTATCAAAAATTAGGCATCTTTCCCCGCTTACCATCTCACCCCGAATCACTCTATATGTTGCAGTCAAAACCAGTTTTTAGTTAAAACGCGTTCTAACTAAAAACGGGTTTTGACTGCAACATATACATAAGAACCAGAAAAGTAAAATGGGACATTATTTTATAACTATTCTATTTTTAAATTATTAGGCTTGTATTAATAGATTAAAAATAATCGCAAAACGTCATATCACGTAGTAGTCGACTGACCTATGAAATTTTAAAATTTTAAAAATGGGCTGTAATTTTATAAATACTCAATATTTTTAAATAAAACTGTCAAAAGGATCACAAAAGTGATGGCCAGCTCTCGAAAAAGCTATCAAACACGTGTAGACTCATATTTTTCGGTAGCTTCATATCGTTATAATCTCTCTCGTTTTAAGTCTAGTGGAAAAAATGCCGAATTATGTCCAGCACGGTTCAACGAATTTATCCAAAATTTTACGGCTTCCGTAATCCTCATCGCGGACATATATATTAAATTTTATTCAAATCGGTTCATTGGTCTTGGAGATAGTAATTAACGGTTAAATTTGGCACTTTAACATTACACGTGTGTCTGAGCTTTACTGTAGAGCCCTACTACGATCTATGATATTCATAAAAATATTCATATTAAAAGCATTTTAATATTTTTAGACAGTGTTAGCAATCGGTTGGATTGTGGCTATTGCTCTTTCTTCAAGCGTTATTTTTGGTATATATCATACTCACATGGGAGTAATTGCTTCTTCCGTCTATAACGCTTTCTGTCGTACAACATGGAGTATAGCTGTTGCCTGGGTGATTTTTGTATGTTTGGCCGGATACGGAGGTAAATTTTGTAAAGTAAAAAATTTCCATCTGAAATTATATCTCGATATTTAATTTTATTACATAAAGAAGCATATTTTAAAAATTTTTAGGAGCTGTTAATTCAATTTTATCGTGGAAAGCGTGGATTCCCTTAAGCAGATTAACTTACGCTGCATATCTTGTACATCCAATTGTCATAGAAGGATATTTTGGTTCTCTTATTAAACTAATCTATTTTCAGATGGATTCTATGGTAAGTATAAATGCTGAAATAAGTGCTTTTAATACGTTGATCTAAATTTATGCTATAGATAAATCGCCTCAATACTAAGCAATATAATTGTTTTAAATTTTAATGTTACACGACTTTGAAATTAATAGAAATTCGAGAAAATTTAGCGTCATTTCTGTGATAATAAATTTGTTAAATAGTTAAATAACGTTTCTGTTAAATAGCTATTCATAACGTTAACAATTTAATAAAAAATAATAACACGATTAAACAGGATGGTAGTAAAAGTTTCTCCCGGCCAATTATTTCAAAAAATAACAGAACGATGGAGATAGATCTTTTGCTGACGTATGTTATGTCTGACGTGTGCTAAACAGTGGTGAAAATTTCCATCCCGTAATTGTTTGTAATTGTTGACAATATGATTGTGTTGCCCGTCAATTACAAACTTGTAACATATGAAAAATATGTAATATTGTTTTTAGTGCATTCTGAAATATTAAATGGGATCCCTGAACAAACATTCTATTGATAGTATGATATACTTCTCTGCACAACACATAACGACTAGTGTATCACTTCAAGAAACGAATGCAATACAAGAGTTTTTTTTAATTTAACTTTGTGGGAACTAAGAAAACCTTCTCGGCAAGCCCATTATGGATTCGGCATGCCAACCGGTGGGGAGGGACGGGACCAATCATATCAGGACGCACTTCGTCCGAAAAATTTCTGGAATTTTCGACTTGTGCGGATTTGACCCCAAATCTCCTACAATGTATCTCCTACATGTTCTCTTTCCGCCCTGTAGGAACTAAACGGGCCTCTTTTAGCAAGAACTTTATGGGTTGGACCAGACCCATAATGGGGCTGCCGGGTGGTGGATCCCATAGAGTGGTAAGCGAACGCCTTAATCTCTCTGCCATCCGGCACTTATTTAATGATTTAAAACATCAATATTATTTATTCGAGTATCGCCGTAAATTTTCAAATATTCAAATATTTAATCAAATATTTTAATTTTTAAATTCATGAAAAACTTAAGCCAAAAAGTTTTAAATTAAAATATAACTCTAGTAATTAAAGAAATTTTAATAAATATGTTTCAAATCAAAGAGTTATTCCAGGGGCGGATCTACATAGGGATTAATAGAGCGTAAGCCCTGGGCTTCAAGTGTCAAGGACCCACAAAAATTGAATTACTATCATAAATTTTTGATACCTTTTCATTAACAATGAGCACTTATCGTATAGTAACTATTTTTTATTATATTTATTATTATATTAATAATATAATAATGTTGATAATTTATAGTATTATTTGTTTTATTGTAATCAATGTAACGTAATTGGTCGGTAATTAATCAATGTAAATATTTTTTTATTCCTTATGTTTTTTTTTATATAAGATATAAAGTTTGTCATTCAACAGCATTTCGTAAATAAATATATTTCAACTCTGATTTTGATGTTATTAAAAGATGAATTTTGAACCCAATTTAAAGATTCTTAATCTAACAAAAAATGAGGCCCCATTGGACTTCAATAAGCTCTAGGCCCCGAAAAATCTAGATCCGCCCTGGTAATTTCATCTGAATAAAATGTCACGCAGTTTGCTATCAAAATAGTTTCTTAAAACAATTAAACTTTAATTAAAATAATTATTTAAAATACTAGGACAAAAATTTGATACATTACAAAATTCTAATGCATAGAAGTTCCACATAAGTGTCTTCTTTATTTCGTAACGTCCTTTACACACTTCGGAAACAAACAGTCCTTACGGCAGAGTCGAGGGACTGTTTATAGTATGGCGGCTGAGTACTGTACAGGGAAAGTAGCCTATATAGGAAAGTCGACCAGTACGGCTGTTGTTCTCGAAGTTTATTACGGCATCAAGTTTCTTAAAAATGAATATTTTTTAAGATGCTGATTTCTATAAGTTGTTTACAGCAGTGGTCCCCAACTGCCGGGCCGCGGACCGGTACCGGTCCGTGGATCAAATGGTACCGGGCCGCCCAAGGAACATTAAATTATTTCCATTTTATTTACTATGGTATTTCCTCGGGTTTATGCGACTTTTAATGGACGACGGAACAACGGAATAAACTGGACATAAGAAACACACTTCGGGTGTCATTATCTCCTATTACCCCCAGATGGAACCGTCTCGTTGCAAAGAAACAAGCTCAGGGTTCTCATTGATTTAGCGTTCTGGTGAGTTAAAATGTTGAATCACGTTATATTCATTTCTTGGTGTAACTGTATTTTATTTTGAAGGCATGTTTAAATACAGTTAAATTAAAATTATCAAACGTTGATCGGTCCGCGGCAATAAGAAGGTTGGGGTCCGCTGGTTTACAGGATTACAAAAATTCACAGAACTGAATATAAAAGTCCTTAATCCACGAAAACTATCGTTATTTGGATCAGAAAATAGTATTTTAGTTGTTGTAGATATGCATTATACTCTTTAAATTCTAGCTTTAATTATTGTCTATTTTGAACATTTATTAAGTACTGTAATGACATTCAAACGTACAAAACAAACTGTTATGAAATAAATTACATTTGTATAATAGTTCATATTTTACTTTATTTTAAATAACTGTTTGTTACTAAATAATCTGTTTTTGTAATTGTGATAAAGTACTGTATATACAGTATTTATTATCTAATGTTTATCGCACGTAACAATGAAATTTCTTTTCATAGATAACATACTATTTAGGAATTCTAATGTCATCGTATTTGGCTGCTTTTGTTGTATCTGTTGTATTCGAAAGTCCTATGATGGCTCTCGAGAAATTTATTTTAGACAAAATGAAAAAGGAATAAAAAGAAACAGCCGTTTGTAAAATAAGGATTCTCTTTGTGATCATCTCAATTGGCCTTTTCCAGTGACCAAAGGAGAAACAACACTTGATATTTTCTTGTAAAATAATTAAAATTTTGTTTGTTGTAAAATTTGAATAAATAAAGAATAGTTTAAAAAATTTCTCTAGCAATTAAAAATAATTTTAGCACTATCACACGCAAATACGTTGGATGCCAGTCCCTAAGGCGCTTACATGAGGTTTGTTGTTCAAATGTGCACCCTAAAATTAGTCGTAAAAATAATTTAGAAATTTTCAAATTGAATTATCACTGCATCTATTTCTGCCATTCCATCAAGAACTCAACATGAATTGAATCTTTGATAGAATTGTTACAGTTTATTGAACTATTTTGACCAAACTAAATGTTTTCTAAAACAAAAACGGTCTTATTTAACAATTAATAGAAGTTCGGAAAGGTAAATAAATTTAAATTAATATAAACTTAAATAAAACATTTAATAGATTTATTTTTTATAATACAGTCAGCTATTACAAAATTCCTATTTCGTACAGAATGATTCATCTAGAAAATTTTGTCGTTAATTTATATTTTGAGGAAAACGAAATTTGTTTACTCAAAGTATAAATTTAAATGCTAAATTTACACATTAATTCTAATTTGTTTCAAATTCTAATTTTACTCTTGATAAATAATAAAATTTACCTCTGACCTGTATAATATCACTCGGATAAACATGCTCGGATCATGATGTCATACTAGATATAATTGAAAGTTAAATTATAGTACTTTTGATTAACTGAAGTAGTAATCAAATTTGATTTTAAATCTATAAGAAATTCAGTTCCTTCCGAAAACAATACGATTATTCTAAACATTACATTACATAGAAACGTTTGCAAAAAAAACAAGAAATTTCACGTGACTATTTCGTTCACGCAATTGATTGCTACATATGTTTAACTATAAAAATTATGTAGCTTTGTAAATTGTATACTAATAGCTAATGTTTAATACGATACAGTACATACAAAAAATTAACATTTTGAGGGGCTCGGGAAAAGAACGATTACAGTTCATTTATACTAAAAACTGGAAACTTTAATTTCAAAGTTTGACAACTTGCCAAGCTGAAAGTATACATAATAATGATAAATAAATTAATATTTGATAAAATTTATTTGTTGTAGTCATAAGTAAATCGAATATTGATTATTTTTTAAATATAAATTAGCCCCATTTTCTATATAGTTATAAAAATCAATAAAAATTGTACAATAAAAATGTAGTAGTATTGTAAAACTGAAAATGAACATGTACTATACCTATACTGTAAAAGCTAATTTTGAATTTTATAATACTATTTTTTAAATTTTGCTTCCTTCTTCGCTGCTGAATTACATAATTCCATAAATATTCTCTTTCAAAAAATTCAAAAGAGATGATTACTAGTCTGAAGTCATCATTATAATGGCAATTGTTATAAGAGATGCTATCAAAAGTCCAATTATACTAAATTTTATTATTACAAAATACGTACTATAATTTTTAAGTGTAATTTAGTATATAATGTACAACTATTTTATATGAAATAAATTCAATTGCAAAGTTATTTAAATGATTTATTAATGATATTCTGCGTTCGAATTTCGTGTATTTAATACTTCCTTTTTTAAAATAATTTTTCTAAGTATTGGGATAAAATTTGACAATTCCAATATTTTCCAATATTTTCCCTTGTTATGTATATGTTAACCGTTTTTAGTCAAAACCCGTTTTTAGTTAGAACGCATTTTAACTAGTTGAAACTGGTTTATACTGGATGTCTTTGTTTAAACCCGTTTTGTCTAGTTAAAACTAGTTTTAACTCAAATTCATTTTTGACTAGCAGTAAATTCTAGTTAATTTACTGCTGTGCATGTTTTGATTTTAGATAAAACTAGTTTTAACTTTTAACATTAACTAATTTTAGCTACATAAATATGTTTAGGGGAAATAAATAAAGTTATGTATAGTGATTCGAGGGAAGATGCCTAACATTTTGCTTATGAAAAAAATTATAGCGATAATTTGGGTTTTGGAGTCCTCTAACGAAAATATCATATTCTTGAGTATGTTTTTTAAATAAAACTTTGGAGTATATGAAAAATAATTGTCTATTGTGTTTGCAATGACGACTTTTTCACAGTCTGGCATTTTAAAGCATCTCACCCCAAGTATCCGGGTGAGATGCCAAATGCCATTAGGGTGAGATAACAAACATAATTGCATAAAATTAATTTTTGANTAAATTAAAAATTGCATGGATCAGATGTCATTTCGGATATTACAGAAATGAATTAGCGATGTGTAATAGTTTAACAACTATTACACATTTTGCAATGTTGTTATTTAGATGTGTAATAGTTGTTAAACTATTACACATCTAAATAACAACATTGCATTTAACAACTTACCTATTTAATTTGTTAAAATTAAATATGGACAGACATGAGACAGTAGGTGGAAGAAAGACGTTTACGTCAAAATAACCCATAAATTTACTCTCCTTATTTCCGAATGACAAAATTAAAATATTAAAGTCAATGCCTTTACGCTCGAGCAATTCTTTACAGAATACGGGAAATCAATCATTATTTAACCAGTTTTTCAAAAATGAATAATTCATGGTGTAACTGCGTGGATGGTATCTCATACAATTGAACACAATTGGACAAGGAAACTAATTAACTACTTTTACAATCAGCTTAACTTATTTCCTGCCCGATCTCTTTATCAAAAGTTTTAGAAAATGTTAAACACTTGAAGACGTTTAAAAAATGTATTATTGTTCATACGGCACCAGAACGAGCTAGTTAAATTGGTCAGAGGCCGTTGCACTTGTAATTAGATCTTTTGGTTATCGCGAGCTAGTGCTGGTCCTCAGTTTGTGTAGGGTTGAAATTGAAAGTGACGAAGCACTTTTACGAGCCCTGTTTTATAATGTTTATAAATGTTCACCATATTTTAAGCTGCTTTCGTGCGAAACTATTAATGATTTTATTCTTTGAAGTAGCCTATAATTTGATTCGTTAACTTAAATATGAAATAGAAAATCTGGAAACCGGTTGTTATACCGATACGCAAAATGATATTTATTTGAAAAATGACGTTGAATACTGCAAGGTTATTGGAAAACTGATAAATTTGAACAAATAAAAATCTTTAACTACTTTAATTTCCTTGCATAAACTCTTACTGTCTGAGCGTTTCAGACATCTGAGCTGGGCTTTCTGCCGTTGCACTTGCAATTGGATTTTATCCAAAATCGAAAATTTACAATATAATTAGACATTTCTAACATACGCTTTTGTCAGTAGATAACCCATTGTAAGTATGATGCTCTTTTATTTATTTTAAATAGCAAATTCTAAGAAAAATAAAATTAAATGTCTAACACAGGAATAAGCTAATTCGAAATTTAAATATTAGAAATGCTTTATTTATTTATAGATTAAAAAGTGTAGGATATTTTTCATTTATTGTCTCTATTATTACAGAAATTCAAAATATGAAAAATAATTTTAAAAGTCAACACTAATATGTTTTTTTTTTTCTTTTGAAAGAGAAAATAACACGTTAGTGCCATTTTTATACTCAAAAAAGATATACAATTAACAAAATTTTTTTTCATATATGTACTAGCAACTTTTATTACTTTTTAAGATAAATATTTAAAAAGTTTTACTATTGTGTCGTTAGGTTATGAGTTATTCACGATCAAAATGATTTTATTACAGATAGCAGTATGATTAAACTTGTAAAGTTTCGAGAGACAATATGGTCAATAAGATTTTTTATTGCTAACAGAAGCTTCATTATTTATTTAAAATGCTATTTATACTTGAATATTTATATAACTACTTTCTAATTTGTTTATACTTTTACAGTGTTTTAGTTTATGTACTGTACTTACTTTAAATAATTGTTAAAAAAATAAAACTTTTACGTATTTACATGAATTTTAAATTGCCCCCTAACATTTGCTTTTAGCTCCTTTGATAAAGTACGGACTCTTAAAATATCTAAAAACTATAAAAATATTGACAATTGTTTATAATTATTTAAATTAATACTTTAGATAATTGTAAACATCTGAATTAACTTTTAATGTCCAATTCCTATAATAATGACTATCGTAAGAAAACTAAGAAAAATGGCTAATTGTTAAATATCACATAGGATGTATGATATTTCAGTTTTTTTGCAATGAGAGACTATTTTGGATGGGAGATCAAAACTAAATTGTTCACTTACATTATACTCTGTATACTTTCATAGTGAACTAGTAAATCATTTTCCAGGAAAAAATTGTTCCATGTACAGTACATAAATAAAAAGATAAAGAGTCACTTTATAATTAACCTCTTTTGATTTCCATTGAAGATTATTGTTAGCCATTGTGCCTCAAATATTTTCTGTAATTTTCAAAAAAATAAGGATACAATTTCCACAAACTTATTATCAGCATTGTATTGTATTAATTTATTAGCCAATTCCTTTATGGTAGCTTTGCAAAATTTTTCTACCCATTATTTGACGGTTTCACCCACTTTCCACTTTGAATATTTTAACCGGATAAAAAGCGTTTTGTACTAATTTTGAGACATTTTACGACCTTGTAATTTAAACTGTGTCGCTATTTTTCATGAAAGCCGAAATAGAATTTGGATCCATGAGAAGGAAGTCGAAGATGCATGACAATTAAACTATCGAATAAATCCTCGTGCACTTGCATTTAGCTAATACATAGCAGAAGTAGATATAGTCTGGTGTAATATTTTGTCCACACCTTGTATATAATATATTGTACAGTTAGATGCATTAAATTCTAGAGAGAGAAAAGATGTGGGTATTATTCACTTGTTTTGTAGAGGCGATAGACATACAGATTAAGCAAAATCTACTTTTTGACTGGTTTAAGATCTGGTTTATGATTGATGGAATAACCACGTGTTTTCCAAACACGTGGTTATTCCATCACGTGTTTATCAAACATATATCCAACACGTGGTTATCAAACACGTGTTAGGAATGATGCTCTTGTCCTGGTGGACAAGAGCATCATTCCTAAAGCAATTCCCAGCTTGAACTCTTTTAAAACCCTTTTCCAAAGTTTAAATTAAGTTAAAATTCCTTTACAGGCATTACGAGCTCTCTCTCTGCATGAACGGTTATAATTTGTTTTAGAAATTTTTTCATCTTCCTTCACTTATAAAATCGATATTGTTTATTTAAATTTATCTGTATTAATGCATTTGTTTATAGAATTCAAATACGGCATATGTACTGCAATTAGGCTAAGTAGACTTTTACATGCAATCCTATCTATTTAAAAGAATTTTGACTATGTAAATGATGTTACGACTATATTTGCCATCATTGTTACTTTCCCGGATGTTAAAAGACATCACAGGAAAGTATTGTAATCGGGTCAAATTTGACCACCTTTTCTGCAATTCTCGACGTTTTAAGACCCCATGAATCCAAAAAGTAACAAAAGGGGATTCCCGGTGTTTGCTTGTGTTGCTTGTTTGTTTTCATGCTTGTTTATGTTGTTTGTTTGTTTGTTTGCTTGTAAACACAATCAAACAAACAAACAAACAACATAAACAAGCAAGAAAGTTCGTATAAGTTTATGTGTGTTTGTATGTATTTGTGTGTATGGAGGACGTCCATTTCGTTTAATATCTCAGGATGGGGTAAAGCTTCGAAAACAAACTTTTCAAAGTAACTTATATTTAAGAGGCATTTACGCTATTAAATTTTGAAGTACGGAAGTCAAAGGAGATAGGGAGATAAGGGAGTCATGTCTCCAGTAGGGTCGAGCATAGTGAAAATTTTACTCGTTGGCATTTATAATATTTACTAATATAAAACTAATTACTACCCTCAAAATGAAGTCTTTTGTGCCTTTTTATAATAGTTAATAATGACAAATTTATTTTTTAACAAAATTTCATAACACATAACACCACAAAATTTTTTAACTTTGAGCTAGTATTATAGTACTTTTAAAACTTAAATATTTTTTAAATGGAGCCTTTTATCACGATTCAACTAAATTATTCCTTAAGCTTTATTACTAAAATATTTTTATATACTAGTACAATTTAAAATTATAAGAATTCCGAACGACTCTTAACTTTCTATTCTATTACCGCGGAAGTCGACAAGAGGTCATATTTATATAAATAGAATGTGGTTAGAAAAATTTATCAACCTCCAGTGATAAATTCTAATCATAATCTAAAAAATGAACTTTGCTTCCTTTTCAATAGGATTTGCGACAATCGATAATACCAGATGTACAAACTTTTGTCTTTTATATTTATCTTCAAATTAATTGGATCGCTGAGTACTTCAGACGTCGATGTATTTGATGACAATACAGTGAGACAATTGAATAATTTACGAATAGAATGGCTGAAATTCATGTCGTCAGTACCAAATACTGCTTGGATAACACATAGCCTCTCATATCCTGGATTTCTCAATAAAAATGATCACCGTGGAATGTCCATCGACTTGAACCACTTGACATACAATGTATCGAACCATAACAATATGCTCGATGCAATTAACAATTCTGTAGACGCTATGCATTATGACATTAAATCTTCGGGAAATAAATGTAATTATGATTTGATTTATTTGTTGTTCAATTTACGAAAATCTTGGGCCGAACAAAGTGAGTATCGTATTTTATTCTCTTATTTTTAAAATACAAAATTATTTCTTATAAATGTAATTTAATTAGTGTTGGATGCCACTGGGAAATTGCCTTCTGGAATGTTAAAGGGAAATTTATTTTGGTTGGGTGATTTTAAACAGTGTCGAAATGTCACCGTACCACTAAAAGTTATTGGAAACTTTAATTTTGGAGGATTTAGAGGCGAATACTGTTATTTTACTTGGACAATTTCACTACAACAGGTAATTCTTTAATAAGAATTTATTCTATTTATACGTATCACATACAATGCCATTTTAAACTATAGTATCATGCCAGCATGCCTTTATATTTGGGTATATGTGTACCTGATTCGTGCACTGAAGAAATATTGAGGAATGATGCAAAAGCAGTAGCAAAAATTTTACGTAAGTTATTTTAATTTTATAAAAACGAATTTTTTAAAATCCTGTAATATAATAAACTCCACCTTTGTATTTGAAGAAAGTCAATTCTTACCAATAAAATTTGTTTATTGTTACCAAACCTAAAAAATTTACCAAATCTAAAGTAATTAGTAATTATTGTAAAATAGAATCATATTAAACAGAATTTTTTTACAGATTATATTCCTACAGTTAATAAACTTATAAAATACGTTAACAGTACGGAAATAACTTGTCAAATTTCTAATATAAAATGGGAGAATAGTCACATAGCTTACCTGTGAGTATATATTTTAAAACTTTGAATATATCTTTATAATATACTAACCGTTGTGAATTAGGTGTATATTGTCGATATTTGCCGTCTTTATGATCACTGGTACTTGGTGCGATGTCGCAAAAGTTCACAAGAATAAGAAAAAAATCATTACAGAAGATAACAATTCGAACATAGCCAATGGAAATTCTGCAGAAAGTTTTAACAGATACGAATTTAACAACGAAAATGCGGTAATCATCAGCTCAGAAATATCTGATTCCACAACGTATTTGGCAAATGACAAGAATTCCGAATCAGGTAATATTTAACTTTTCATAATTTGAAATTTTGAAGCTATAAAAATTGACTTTAATTTTCTTCTATTAGCAATTGTGGAATTCTTAATTTGTTTTTCTGTATACACAAATTTCGGTCAAATATTTAACACTAAAAACGTTAAGAAACCTTTACAATGCATTCATGGATTTCGTTTTATAAGCATGCTTTGGATCATTGTTGGATATACAATAGTCGAAATTTCAATGTTTTCTGGTAGGTTAAAATTGTTATTTTATTAAACATTACGAATTATTGATATATTGTTTTTTCCTATTTAGAAAATGGATTAGAATTTATGGATGTTTTAAAACAGCAATATTCTTTATTCATAATTCAAGGTACATTTGCAGTTGATACATTTTTCTTAATCGGGTAAGAAAACTTCTCTAATTTTCTTTTTAAAAATATAATTTTTAATGTCATATCCTTTATTTTGCTTTTTGTTTGAGTTTATATCAAAATTATTATTTCAACCACCAATAGTGCTGTTTTTGCCCAAACTTATCACAACAACTTCTGTATGTTATAACTCTCTTATACAGAAGTCGTTGTGATAAGTTTGGGGCACTAAAAAAACAGCACTATTGGGTTGCTGAAATAATAATCTTTTAACGTCATATTTTTGCTGTCTATTTGCAGTGGCTTTTTACTATCTTATTTATTTTTAAAAAGACATAAAGGAAAAAACAAACAATTTCATTGTACTCGTTATTATCTTCATCGAATTTGGAGGTAAATCAATTAGCTTTACCCCAAAATTTCATATTTTATGATATATTTCTCAATTCGTATTATTTTCAGGTTAACTCCTACATACCTAATGATTTTAGGGTTTTATGCAACTATCTGGTTACACGTAGGAATGGGTCCATTTTGGCCAAAAGAAAACACTCAATGCAAAAAATTTTGGTGGTGGAATCTCTTGTATATTGTAAATTTCAAAGATTTGTCGGATACGGTAATTTATCATTAAACTAAACTTGATTTTCAAAATTATCTAAACAATAATACAACTAATAATGCTATATTCATTGTAGTGTATGGGATGGACGTGGTATTTAGCCAACGACATGCAGTTCTATATCATCAGTCCGATATTTTTGATACTTTTATGGAAGTATGTTTTTTAATTTCGAAATCTATTTCACTAGTAATATAAATACTGTATTTTTATATTAAAATTGCACTTCAACTTTTCAGGTGTTCTCTTGGGGGAATCATATTGCTATGCATTACTTTAATTGCATCAATGATTGTCACGGGACTTCTCGGAAAATCCGGCATAATCTCAATATTTTCTGCTGTCGAAAATCTCGAATCAGATGTGGGAAAACTGCAAAATGAGTCAGTTTGTGTATCGTTTATTTGACATTATTACGCACGTTTTTTGTTTATAAGTGAAACTTTGTATTATTTGATTTCCAAACATTTAAGTAATTAATTTTTCTTTTTAGTTTTACGAATTATTATAATGATATTTACGTCAAGCCTTATTGTCGCATCGGGCCATATCTCGTAGGAATTCTCACCGGTTATGCTCTTCACAAAGCCAAACATTTCAAACATTATTTTAGTAGAGTATGTCTAAATTTAAATTGTGCTAATAATATTACTGTATATTTTTGTTGAATATACAATGTTTAATATTATTTGTTTTTTCAGAAAATTATATTTTTATGTTGGGTTTTGTCTTTGACTGTTACTTCTACGGTTATTTTTGCCGTTTATCATGCACATATGGGATCTGTGACTGCTTCTGCTTACAACGCTTTATCTCGAGTGACGTGGAGTATTGCTGTTGCTTGGATGATATTTGCTTGTACAGCAGGATTCGGAGGTATTCACACATAAAACAAAGATTATAAGGATAAATACCTGATCATATTTATAATAATGATTTAATTTTCAGGTAAAATTAATACAATATTATCATGGAAAGCGTGGATTCCGTTAAGCAGATTAACTTACTGCACGTTTCTTTTATACCCCATTGTTATGAAAACGTTTTTCAATTCTAGTTCCAAATCTTTTTACATTCAAATTGATACTTGTGTAAGTATTTGAACAAAATTTGTTGCTGGTGTGTTTGTATTTACTTCATAATAATTATAATCCCTATAATTATTTTGAAGTTGGTTATTGAGAACTAGACACTGCTAGTGTTCAATAATATTCTTTATTTTTTGCCGAAATCAAATTTTTTACTTTCGTTTTTATTTATTTATTTTTTTAATTTTAACTTTTTAACCTAAAAATAAGTTATGTAATCTTTTTTCCTGCGCTTATACATCGCAAAAATTTAGGTATGCTATTCCCTTAACTAGAAGAAGGCAAGTTAAGCAGATTCGTTTTAGTATAGTTGAACACAACTTGAACTCTTTACCTGCAACTTGCTTACACGTGGTGATTTCAAGTTGTAATTTATATATCGGAAATATTACTTTGTTTAAGCTTCAGCTTCGACAAACTTTTAGCAAATAAGGCGTTTCCACAGTAATAATTTCTTTAATTTTAAAAAAATTTAGAAAATGTTTTTGTTTCTTTAATTTATTGAGTCGTTCGAGAAAATAATCTATTTAAGTCTTGAGTTTTATAATCGTTTCTTTGATTTTCTTATTTATGCTATAACAAATTTGGAAATTTTAATTAAATCAGCGACATTATCCAGAAATGTAAACTATCAATAATGGTTGTCGCAACTTCTGATGGAATCTCAGGGGATCAGTTATTTCCATGTCTAATATCCGAAAATCCACTTTTCTCAAACTTTCGAATTATCTTTCTAATTGTGAGGACCGAACCAGGACCAGACTACAATTTCTTACGGCGACTAAACTCTCGAGGAGCTGCTGTTGGCACCCATTTTGGTAAAATAACTTTACAATTAACGGACGCTTATGCAAAGATGATCTGCATATTCAGAACGACTATCTGTAAGAATACTCTTGGGACGGTTGACTGCAACATTTATAATCATTGAATACCTAGAAAGGAAGGAAATAAATTTTATGTAAAGTTTCCATACTTGGAATCCACTAGTGACCGATTGGATTAAACTAATGAACACTGGTAGTTGGTGCGGGTTCACACTTCACTAAGAGGTTGCCACATGGAGTTCTCTCGGTTTTCTTCACTTGTCAACATCTAAATAGGGACCAATTTTCCATAAAATCTTCTCGTGAGGTACCCTTGGTAGATCGCTGAACTGTTGTGTTGTCTCATTTTGTCAGACCTTGGCGTCCCTATTGGCGAATTTTGAACAAATTATTTTCGATGAACCTTTTTTTACATGCCCTCAGTAGCACACCTACAAATTTTCCGACTTATTAGATCAAGCATTAGAAAGCTCGAAACAAAGAAAGTTTCATTTTGACCACTTCATATTTGCTTTCTCCAACGTAGATATCGGTCACTTTTCCTTTCAGAATGATTAGCTGTTTCCATCTAGTCACATAGATTAATATGTTTACAAAGCCTTTATTCCAAACCAAACCAAACTCTTTAATTAAAACAAATTAAAATTTTTCTCTTAAGCGAAATATAATTTTAACAAAACAAAAGGATAAACAGAAAAAAAAACAGTTAAAAGTAGTCTACTTATATTTAATTAAACAAATTTTATTCAAAACTTATTGCTGAAATTTTAAAAGATATTACTTATATGATAACAAAAAATACATAGAAAACACAGCTACAGAAAGATGCGACAGTTATTAAAATCTGACAATATTTATATATATATTATTTTTATTAATTTAATTCAAGCAACTATTTAATTCTGGTTTTATTCCTTTTTGTGTGGTTGAATAGTCCATGACAATAATGCATGTCTCTTATTTCCTATCTTTATTTCTTTATGGTAAATGCATAAAATTATTCCGTATAAATAATAATTTTAAAATGAAATATTATTATATAAGATTTTCGAATAAATTTTATCTAATATTACATTTATTTCATTAGCTAACTATCTTCTTTGGACTATTTATAATATCCTTTATGTGTGCTTTGCTTGCAAGTTTGACATTTGAATATTCTACAATGGCTCTTGAAAAATTTATCTTGAGAAGACTTTCAAAGAAATAAGTTAACATTTAAAAACTAAACTCTTTAAAAATAATTTTAATGATAAATATCATTCTGTATTTTCTTTCACAGTTATTTTGTTGTCATAGGGTAATATTGATTATAATTTTGTATATAACGTAAACAAACTTTTTTCCTTCCTGTACGTATGAATATAACTTATAGAAATCTGCAAAACTAGAAAATAAAACGTTCAGTTTAACTTATGAACAATACTATTGTATTGTTATTTTACAAAAATATTACCGTAAAGTGTTTAATATAAGGTAATTTAAATAATTTATACTTGTCTAATACTATTGTATAAACACTGATATAATTTATAATTATAAAATACGAATATTGATTGATAAATGAGGTCCACACTTCCATACAGCCACTGTTGTTATAACACAGAGAATAGAAGATAGTCGATGTAGCATTGTTATCCTTATTCTCTGTCATTCAAAAGTTCAAAGTTGTTCTCTTTGTTCAGAAGTTATATTGACGAATTGTTTTGGAATGGAAAGGTGGTTGTTTACACGAAGTCTTTCTGGAAGAGTAAATCATTTCAGAGAAATATTGTAAAATTTAATTTCAAGAAACGTATTCACAGACTAAGGCCAAGAAAAATTGCCATAACTCAAAATCGCACTCCAAAAAGTAACTCGAATAAGCTAAAGAACACGAATTTAGAGCTTATTTGACATCCTCTCACAACCTAAATAAGTTATATGAAACCACCAGACTTCACGGTGTTATCAAAATAAAAAGAAAAATTGAAAGTTTAACACTTTTCATCAAATTTTGAAGTTTAAACTACTGTAAGGAAATCAAAGAAATTAATCAAGGAAAGCTTTTTCATGGGAGAAATGCAAAAAATGAATTGAACGTTTAGAAAAATGCGTCACTCTAAATGAGTATGTTGAAAAATGAAGTGTAATTAAAATTAGATGCCCACTATTTTATTAAACTGAACACATTCTTCTTATTCTTCCCAAGCTAATTTTATAAAAATGGACATCTTATTTATCAACGATATTCGTAGAAAATATATTTACAAAGTATTAAATCAATTTTGTAAGTTTATAAATAAAGATGATTTTATTTCAAGTTATATGTTAATTTTTTTCGAAAAAGTTTACCAAAGGGTTCAATTAAAATATTTTTAAGTTAGTTTATTTGATATTGATTAACAATACTCAGTTACACGGATATAACTGAGTATTGTTACTGAGTGACCCGTAGACCCGTGTTAATGAGAAAAACATATGATATAATTTCTTAAAAAGTGTATACAAAAATGTAACCAGTCTAGTCTAAATTTAATTAAAGACGTTCATTAAATTATATTCTTTAAAATTTATTTAATTGCTATTTAAATATTCTGTTTATTACAGTCTAATGCAGTAGCCCCGAACTTTTCGAATGCCGCATAAATCGTAAATAAGTGGGCCACAAATATGTTGTATATGGTAAGACCCGTTTAATATCACATCCGTGGGACTCTGAATATTGTGACATTAAGCAAAGTTGACATTAAAAGGAGTCCTTCTAAAACATAACTAAAACAAAGCTTGAGACTTAATGAAATTACTTTAATTGCACTAGTATATATAGGCCTACTGTATATGTTCTACATTTGACACATAATAATCTTAACTGTTATGCATTTTATCATCAAACACAAAATTTATTACATGAAATGTAATCATAAAACCAAAAAATAAAAACAAATTTAACTTCCAGTTTTTATCACAATGAGAATTTTACACCGTACGATAAACTTATTCGAATCGATAAGAATGAGTGGACGAGGATACAATGTAACCATTTTTCCAATTACAGCGCTCTCAAACTCTGCATTTTGGATAAGGAAACCGTTAGATTTTACACTTAAAAACCATTAAAAAAAACGCATGTTTAAAAGTTATAAATCCCATATTTGGTTATAAATGTTAAAAAATATCAATACTTAAAAAAATGAATAGACAGCATTGATAACACTTTGCTTAACATTGATAATATTAAAAGCACTTTGCTGAGCTGTTTATAGCTATGAACTTTGTTATCGAATAGAATATTTAAATTCATCGTGCACACAATTTATTACATTAATTACATTCCATATATTTTTTTTCTGGATTTTTGTTTAAAAAATTAGTATTAATAACCAGCAATAACCTTTTAAAACAAAATTTAACTTATTGAAATATCATTATAAGATGAATTTATCTCTCACAACTTTCTGTCATCACTTAATTTTTTTTGGTTTTTAATTCGTCAAATTTTGAAAGAGCATTAAGAAAAATACACACTATAAAAATTATCAAATTTTCCTGACCTCCAGCTCTAGATCCAACTCACGCCAATTGCTACCCCTGCAACACTACTCTTCCCTTACACTCCACCGTATTTTACACTTTCAAATTAAAAAAATTGAACTCATAATTCGTGAATTTTTCTTTTTTATATACATAATTTTGTACAACTTTCATTTATAAATACTATATTCTTTTATTTTTTAAACGCTTTTAACTTATTGGGGTCGATGTTCTGCTGTGTGAAGGTAAACTGATGAATATATTTATTGCAATGAACGGCTGCATTATGCTCCTCGAAACGAGTACACAAATGTCTCTCTAATGTATACATAATCTATCATTTACATTATCATAATTGAATCTATAGATTGTCAAGCGCAAGAGAAACACTTCCCTAAAAATATAATACATTATTTATTGCATTATTAAATCTGGAAATCAGGAAAACATTATTGCTTTTTAATTACTGTTTTAAAATTTATATGTTTTCATATAATATTTAATATTATTTAATAAATGTTAGGCTTCTTGAAGTATTTATATAAATTAACTCATGATGTATACTTTTTTAATCTGAATCATGTTACAAGATAGTCGTCAGCATAACGACAAAAGCTAATTCCTAGTTAAATCATTATAATTTTGATAAATTCACTCATCACTATATCTGTCGATTTTATCTCTTGAAACCTTTACATTTAATAGGAAAATATAAATACAGTAGATCAAATATAGTATAAAGAAAAGTTCAAATTTCGTCCTTGGAAAATTTAAAAATTTTCCACCTTTATAATAATAATAGCTTCGCAAAAAAATAATAAAATAAAATAAAATAGAACTCATTTATACTAAAAAAATACTATATATATTAGCAATATAATTTTGAATTATTTTTTCATTGTCGACTCCTTTCACCTAGTGGGCCTTTTCTCCATACGCATCGTTTGTTCGGCCAGGCCCACATGGAGAAGGCCGGGTTATGAAGGACCGGTCCGGGAATTTTTCGGGTTATCTATCCCGTATATTCGGGACAGATAACCCGAAAAATTCCTAGATAATTTCTCGCAGGATTCAATCAAGGGTCCACAGAGCGATAGGCCAATTTTCTTTGCTCTGAAGCTTGACCAATCCGGCTGTCAAAGTACAGTAGTTTCGAAAAATTACACTATTTAGCATTTAATAGGAATTCGAAAAGAGCAAAATGTATAAAATTACTATAAATACAAAATACTTAAGAGATTTATTGCCTGCAGTACAATCGAAGCTCAAAAATTCGTGCGTGGCAATGATTTATCTTAAAAATTACGTTGTTTTGCTATTACGAAACGTGGCCAACTTTCCTCAAAGTATAAATTTAGATTTTAAATTCTTAATTTTAATTTTAAAAAGTTAAAGAACAAATTGAATAATTAAAAAAATTCATCTACGTAGCTTATAAACGGCCATTCACATAAAAAGAATGTTTAAAATATGATGTCATACTGAAACTTGAAAAAGAAATTAAATACTTTTTACCATATTACAATAATAAAAAAAATTATTAAAGTTTCTATTCTTTTAAATGTTAATTATTAGTTAAAAGAATTTATGAAATAAAAATATTTCACGTGAATATTCCCATTAAATGTAAATGATAAGAGGAATTTTATCTGTTTGATTATATCAAAGTCTAACAGCTACTTTTAATATGATGCATAATAATTGATATCATTAAAATAAATAAAATACAGCATCATCAATGTTATTTTTATTTTAATAACATTCTGAAATCTTGATACTTTTAAACGATTGATCACTATCGTTTCGGACAATCGTTTTAATTTTATTGTCTGTACAAAAGATAAAAATAACTACATATAATGAGTTTAATGTTTCAATAATTTAATATTGCTGAGGACTATATAGATTAATCGAAGCAAAAATTATTACGAAATATAAATATTTCACAAAAATAGATAAATTTATTGTATTTCTATGTATTTTCTTAATTTTTTTTATTCTATTTTAAAACACCAGTACTTGCATTAAGATTATCCACAATCTTTAATGATAAACAAATTAATATTTAATCGAATTTATTTGTTGTATTCATAGCTGAATCGAATACAGATTATTTTTAATATAAGTTAGCTCCATTCTCTAAATAAATAAAAAAAAAATCAAGAAAAATTTGCTGTCATTGTAAAACACAAAATGAGGGTGTGCCATATAACTTAAGCTGGTTTTGAATTTTAAAATAATATTTTTTGAATTTTGTTTCCTTCTGCTTCTGAATTACATAATTTGACAAATATTCTCTTTCAGAAAATTCAAAAGAGATTATTACTAGTCTGAAGTCATCATTATAATGGCAATTGTTATGAGATGCTATCAAAAGTCCAATTATATTTAATTTTATTGTAAATTATTCAAGTACTATAATTATTTCTGAAGGTAATTTCATGTAATATACAACATTTTTCCTTACGAAATAAACTCCGGCACAAAATTATGGAGTGATATAATGAATGATATACTGTATATGATTTTTATTCAAACGTCATACACTATATTTCATTCATATTCTACTTTTTCCCCCAAGGCAATGATGGTTAAAAAAAGAAAATATACTCATAAATCTTATTAAATATTCATAAGATGTCATATTTTTATAAATAATAGTAAATATTTAGATAAAGTTGAGTAATAAAAGAATAGAAAGGACTCAACTTCTTTATGTTAAGGTTAAATAAATTATCTACATCATAACTATATTTGAAACAGAAATTTAATATTTTACTGTAATATATTTCTTATTATCTTTGAATGGATTCACTTTAATAATTATTAAATACAGTAATTTGCTTTATTACACAGAAGTGATGCAATTAATTATTTCTTCTGTTGTAATGAAGCTATTAAACTATTAAAATATGTTCCTATAATTTTATTAAATGTACATTTTAGAGAAATTATTTCCTGAAAAAAGGAGAAAAAACAGAAAAGGTCATAGCTCATCTCTTCCATATTTTTTGATTATTTAAAGACATTGATTATTGCAAGAATTAGGCCTAATACTATACTTTACTGGCTGCTATATATAATAAAGGGAAAGTATCGCCATACTTTCCCTTTTCTGTTATATATAACAGTCGGGAATTTAAAATACTATAAATAAAATTACCTTCCCAAGGTGTTTATATTTTTCGGACACCAAGACATGGAAAAAATTCGAGTTTTTCCTGCAATATGGATGTTATTGTGTGTATGTGTGGTGCCATTTTATTCACTCATTTTGAAGCTTAATTACCGTATCTTTCGTCGAAAATTTCAGAAATTTTGCCTGGAGGTTTCCGTATTGGGAAAATTGATGCTATTAAATTTTGGTGGCTAAAGGTCGAAAAATGAGGATATTAGAGGAAGTTATATGTCATATCTCGAGTGGGGTCGGACTTAATAAAAATTTTACTCATTATTAGCATTTACAATTTTTTTTTAAACATAAAACTTATCTCTAGCTTCAAAATTAAGCTTTTTGATATTTTGTAATAATTAATATTAGAAGAATAAAAGAATTATCATCTTAATACATAATACGAAACGTAATATAAATTATATATTAATTGATAATACGATTATTGTGTAGTTATGTTTCTAACGATAGTCCAAAATATTTTATTCAATACCAAAATTTAATAACTTACATAAA